ATGATGGGCATGGGGATCCCATTGCTCACCTCAAAAGGTACTGCAACCAACTGCGGGGAGCGGGCGGAAAAGAAGAGCTACTCATGGCTTACTTTGGAGAAAGTTTGGTCGGCATTGCTTCTGAATGGTATATGGATCAGGATATATCTCGTTGGCATATCTGGGATGACCTGGCTCGGGACTTTGTCAGGCAGTTTCAATATAACATCGACATTGCCCCTGACAGGAATTCATTGTCAAATCTAAAGAATAAGTCCTCGGAGAGCTTCCGAGAGTATGCTGTCAAATGGCGCGAACAAGCGGCCAGGGTCAAGCCTCCTATGGACGAAACAGAGATGGTCAGTGTTTTCCTTCAAGCCCAAGAGGCTGATTATTATCAAAACATGATGTCTGCGAAGGGCCATCAAAATCGGTGAAATGGTTGAAAATGGGTTGAAAATAGGGCGAATCTTGAGTCAGTCTGCTATAAGGGCTACCTCCCAAGCAATCCAAGGCGGGTCTGGAGGAATAGCAAACCGAAAGAAGAAGGAAGAGTCGGCAATGGCGACTTCGAGTGTAAGAAAACCCCGTCCACCCAAACCTTACTTCGCTACAGATACCCCACAACACTACTACCCCCATCAAGATGCGGCATATGCTATGGTTCCTCAGCCATACGCAGTGATGAATTCACAGCCCTACGTTAGGCCGCAACAACAATTCAATCAAAACTGAGCTCCATTTCCCAGAAATCAACCTCCTCACCAAGCTCAGTATAATCCCCGACCTCCATAGAACAACTTCCGTGCCCGGGAACCACCCAGGATGCCAAAATTCACACCTATTGGTGAGTCATATTCCAGCCTTTTCCCCAAACTTGTCCAGATGGGTTTGTTGCAGACTGTACCCCAAACCAGGCATAACCCAGCGTCGCCCGCTTACAGAGTCGGTACTCGATGTGCTTACCACTCAGGGGCAGAAGGGCATGATACAAATGACTGTTGGACCCTGAAGAGGGATGTGGAAAATCTGATAGAACAAAAGAGAATAGTGCCAAAGGACGAAGATGTTCCTAATGTAACCAACAATCCGTTACCGGCTCACAACAACGGGCCGGTTATTGGAATGATTTGTGAAGATAGGGAGCTTGATCCAGCTCTAAAAGCCATCATTGCCATAGCCGATGTGGAAAAGAAGACAAAAGCTGATGCAAAACAGGACAAAGGGGAGAAGAAGAGTAAACTCGCCCCTCAGAATACAGAAAAGAAAATGGAAACCGAAACCGGGGCAGCGCCTTCGAAAGATGCCGTCCTCTATGTTACCCGGGGCCGAAAGAAAGAACAGATGTTCTTGAGTCCTCCTAGAAGGTTTGAGTTAAACAAGGGAGCCAAAATGTATGTGCCCAAGGGGACCTACGTGGTGCGGGGGCCAATAATTCTGCCAAGGCGCAATGAGCCCCTGGTTATTGGTTGCGCATCACAAAGGCCCATGACAGATCCCACTGTCGTTCCATGGAACTACAACAAAGCGGTAGTAACTTACAAAGGAAAAGAAGTTTTGGGGGAAGCAAAGGAAAGTAACCCGGCCGAGAAGTACCTCAATCTGGAGGAAGTGAATAATGCCACAAAGAAGCGTTTCCCACCTAAGAAGCTAGTGAGTGCTGAAGAAGCAGAAGAGTTCTTCCGAAAAATGAAAATGGCAGATTACGAGAAAATTGACCAGCTCCGGAAGTCTCCTGCTCAGGTCTCTTTGTTGTCTCTGCTAATGAATTCAACTGAACATCAGAAAGTATTAATCAAAACCCTCAATGAAGCATATGTACCCATTGAAACCACTGTGGAACAGTTGGAAAAGATGGCGGAAAGGTTTTTTTGCAATCAATCAGATCTCTTTCAGCAAGAATGATTTGCCCCCGGAAGGGGTCGCCCACAACAAAGCCCTTCACCTGACAATTAAATGCGAGGGGTATTATGTGAAAAGGGTCATGCTAGATGGTGGTTCTGGGGTAGATATTTTCCCTCTCTCAACTCTACAACGAATGGAAATCGGTACTTAGAGAATCAGACCCAACAACGTCTGTGTGTGTGCCTTTGACGGCATAAAGAGAGATACAATAGGCGAGATTGATTTGATTCTGACTTTCGGCCCGGTGGACTTTGAGGTGACCTTTCAGGTCTTGGACATGGATACTTCCTATAATTTCCTCTTGGGAAGGTCGTGGATTCACGCAGCAGGGGTTGTGCCTTCTACTCTCCACCAGATGGTGAAATTCGAACATGAAGATCAGGAGATTGTAGTTCATGGGGAAGATGAGCGATCGATTTATCGGGACCCGTCAGTCCTTGTCTTGAAGCTAGAGAGGGAAGTGAACATATAGTCTATCAGGCTTTTGAGATTGTGGTCGCAGACCAATGTGAAGAAGGAAACCCTTTCCCTCAACCCTCTCTTTCAAATGCATCAATTATGGTGGCCAAAGAAATGATCGGGCATGGTTACAAAACCGGGAAAGGGCTCGGGAAGTCATCACAAGGAATCGCCGAACCTATCACTCTGGCTGCTAGTGAGAAGTTCTTTGGGGTAGGTTTCCAACCCACATCAGCTGATGGAAAATGGGCGGATGAAAGAAAGAAAAATGGTTGGGTCTTGCCTCAGCCGATTCCGCATCTTTATAGGACATTTGTCAGGCCTAAATACAATGAGGAAGAGGAAGATGAGGCCTTCACGGCCGAAGAAATTGAAGAAATATGTGGGGCTATGAGGCAGATGCTGTATGAAACCCACATGGTTCAGCCGGGAGAAGGCTCAAACACCGCTGAGGTGTTATACATGGGACCCAATGCCAAGCTGCAAAATTGGAGGGCTACTCCATTCCCAATCAGGCGGGAACCCCGGTAGTCCAGTCCTGCCACTTTTTCTGCATCACGAGTTATTTCAGGGTGTAACTCGGATGTTTTCTTTAGTTTCCTGTCTTTAATTTTCCAATGTAAACCCTGTTATCTTCAAATTCAATGAAATGAAATCAATATTTCATCGTTCATCTCTCTACTCTTTCTGATTTTTGTTATTTTTCTCTCTTATTTTTCTTTCAGTTCTAATAATGCAGCTTTAAATAACAAGACATGCTTGCAGACTTCATG